ATGTATTATTCAGTTGTGTTAAATGAAAATCAAATTCAAAGCTCGGAACAGAACTTTAGACTAAGATTTTCAAGAACTGATATTATGATGGACTTATTAAGCATCCCCCCCCAAAAAAAAGAAGATTGCTCTGGAGCTAACAGTAATATTGAATGAGAATGAAAATACAAGTTTCTATAGCTTTAAGAAAGTAGAATGTTTAATGAAATTTTTCATAAACTGAAATGAAATCAAAAGAAACGATAATTACCATTAATTTATGAGCAAAATATTTTTACATATTCATTCGTCGACCCAAAAATACCACGAACTATGTAACAAAATCATTTCAGTAGGAAACTTAGTTCCTTTATTTTTTGGCCTGTTAAAATAACCAAATTAAAACAGAATCTAAAGCACTATTAGTATATATTAAAAGCAAAAATAGCACGAAGTGATCCAATAAAAATTTGAGTAAAATACCATTAACTTCTCATTCACCAAAGGTGGATCAGTATGGGGATGCTGTATCTTACAAAACAATTTCGACTAGACGTCTCGTAGTCCACCGACTACAGAATCATTTTGAATCCGAATATTCTCTGTGTAGAAGACATGTTCAAGGCAGACCTCGAGTTACAACACCGGCGGGAGACCGTTATTTAGCTCTTTCGGCCCGAAGGAGAAGTAAAATTACTGTGTGCCTCAGCTCATGGCAGATCATTTAATGACAACAGAAACAAGAATCTCAGGTACTACAGTGCGCAAACGCCTGCACAATACTGGTCTGTATGCACAAAAAACAGTTATTTGTGTCCCCTTGACCAAAAAACACAGAGTTGCCCGTTTATGTTGGGCAAGAGAACACGTCTCCTGAACCAGTCAACAATGAGCATCAGACATCTTCACAGACGAGTCCAGGTTCACACTGGAGAGTGGTTCAGGTTGTCAGCTGATCTATAGGGAGCAACACACCAGATGCAACGATACAACCAATCCCACATTGTAGAAGGGCACACTGACAGAGGTGGTGGGATAATGGTTTGGGCTGGGATCTCTCTCGGTGGTCACACTGACCTGCATGTGTTCCATGGAAGAACTTTGACCGGTGCGAGATATCGAAACGAGATCCTTGATCAATATGTCCCCTTCCCCAATATATCGCTGCTATTGGTCCTGGAGTTCTTCTGATGAACGATAACGCACGACCGTACCGAGCTCGGGTAGCTGAAGAATATCTTGAGAGTCACGGTATGGAGTGAATGGAATGGCCAGCTGAACCCCCAGACCTGAATCCAATAGAGCATCTTTGGGACTACCTTGGGAGACAGGTTGCTGCTTTAAGTCTTCCTCCAAGGTCGTTAGATGATCTTGAACAAGGATTACTCAGTGTCTGGTCGTTGCTTCCCATTTCACTGACCGACAATTTAACTGACAGCATAGAACGTCGCTGCCGCCAATGAACTGCAGCTAGGGGTGGACACAGTCCTTATTAGAACCCATTTTCCCTTAAAAAACTGTAAGATACTGTTTCTCCAAGACTGGATTTCTCTGCCAAGAGTACATTTTTTTGTTGTACTCCAAGTTTGTGTTGAACTTTAGAAACATTCTATGTCGCATTCATTAAACACGTCCTGTGACATGTTTAATGAATGCGACATAGAATGTTTCTAAAGTTTACAGGACATGTTACAAGACATGTTTAGTGAACATGTCCTGTAAAGTTCTTGTTTCTATGTTGCTTCATTCTCAAATTAGACACAAAAAACTTGCTGTTCCTTAACTTTTGTAGGGCAGTGTATTTTTGTAAAGGCCTAGGTGCACGGATCCTGTTTAGCATCTGCGATTGTATATATACAGGTGACAGGTGACGGAGGACGGGGACGCCTGGTGTTTAACGGAGGTAAACAGGCATATGTCCCACGCCCTCCCCTATATAGATACAAGAACTCCCTGTGTCCCACAAGGGCGCACCGGGAGTTACTGAGCCTTCATGAAAAGTTTACATGGCCATACAGGAGCATTCCAGTTTGACATTGTTCTGTACAGATTCTTATGTTAATGGTTGACCTGGGTGTTCATAGGCCATAATGCTACATGAAACATAACATTACATACATGATATATGACATGACATTAAACTTATACATAATACTTGCATGAATTAGTACATACAACTTACACTTCACATGACATTAGACTACACATACATAATGCATGACATTAATCTACACTTATTATTGTATATATACAATATTTCATGGAATGTCAAGTTTTGTTAATATATTATAACTATATATATTTTTTATTATTATTATTATTATTTCTTGGCCCACCAGCGGCCGAGCGGTAAAGTCGCTGAACTCTGGTAGTCGGTCCGAGGTTCGAATCCCGCGAACGGGTTGGCTGCATGGACGTTTTCGTGGTTTTCCCCATGTGTAACGTGTATACGAGCCAGTTTCCTTAGAAAGTCCTCCACGAAGGCATCCCTCTCCCTTAGGCTAGATAGCCCTAGTGTGCTTTGCCATAATTAAATTCACCACACCATACCTTTATTATTCCTTGGAGTGGTTAATGAATGAGCTAGGGAATGAAAAAAATGAGCTGAGCGCTGCAAGCGAGCAGCAAGTTTGACATGCCTCATTTAGAAATTTTTTTTTTTTTTTTTTTTTTTTTTTTTTTTTTTGGTTAATTCAAACATCAAAAAGTTGAAAGGCTACTCCGATCATTATCCTGCTTGACAGAAATAATACAAAAACTCCCTTTATAAAAGCTTCATCATTCAATGAAAAAAAACATTCTTTAGCACATTTTAAAGAAATCGTTGTGAAATATTGAAAAGTTGTTATAACTAAGCTAGACTGTAAATTTTCAAGAACTCGATTCTGCAGAAGTATCAAAAATTGATTTTTAAGATTTGATCCGAACAAACAGAGAAATCAACTTAAATAGTTCCTGTGTAAAAAGAAAAGCTAAATCTATTTCAGCTCTTTTTATGAAACAAGAAATCCTTTTTATATTTCTACACCGGACAACAATAAAAGATTGACGACGCAGGTTATTCTTAAAAATGAAGTAGGGAAAAGCTAAAATAAATAAACCTCTGTATTAAAAAAAAAAAAAAAATCTGATGTGTACACCACATGACTTCCTTGTACGGAATATTAAATCATACGCATTTTTCTTGAATTTTATTTAAATTGATTGGATTGAATTAAATCTACTTCGTCGACAGCGCAGAAACCACAATAGAATAAATGCACTCTTTAAAATTCACTATATTTGTATACTATAACGACACTCTGAATGCACAAAATTTATATCATTTGAAGAATTATCGTTGCCACATGTTCTATTCAAATACTATAATAAAGCTAAAACGATGTATGAAAGGAATTAAGCAAACAAAACAGAAAAGAAACAGTTTTTCACATACGATTCAGTATTTCTCATTCAATTAATTCAGCTCTCACTTCGCGACAAGGCAAAAAGACATAAAAACTCAAAATATCTGCATTAAAAATTACGAAGTTAATCTTAAACACTTATTTCCTCGAAAAAATTCCAGAAAGGATTAAGCATGATTTAATTTCGCAATAATAAATGAAGGCGTTATTTTTGTGTTGCGAAGCTAAATCTCTCTAGATTGGCAACAAATCTACAATCTGCTGTTTTCAAATGTAAACCAATATATCCGCCATGTTATTAAAACTTAACCGCACTTAAACAACTTTTTAAATTGTTGATAATTCTAACATATTGCTTCCAGAATTACGAAAGGCATAAAACCCTTAACCGGAAGATAAAAAACAACATAATTCAATCATTTTTAAAGCAAAAAATGTACACAATTTACAAACATATAAAGAGTTAAAGAACTGAGATCACTGAGCCGGGTAACAGAGTGATATATATATATATATATATATAATTATATATACGTTTGGTGCGGCCGATTGCAACCAAAATACGAGGTGCACATCTACATGTTATAGCAGTCCTATATACAAAATTTCAATATTCTGAGGCTACTCGTTTTTGAGTTATGCGAGATACGTACGTACCCACGCACATACGTTTGTACAGACGCCACGAAATATGCTCTTCAGAAATATTTTTAAAGCAGTTTTATAATTTTTTTGGAGGAAAGGTGTCTTTTATTCTGTCCTTACGTACAGATATCACGCTAAAACATCGTTAAATTGCATTCGATAGCGGTCAAAATGGATATTTTCGTTGAAATATGTTGCCTGAAACTTTTCGCGACTACAATATTTCCTTTTTACTTCGTACAAGGACGTAAAAAGATAAAAAAATATCGTTAACGCTATCACCGATCATGATATCAAGAAAAAAGGTAAAAATCTTACCTTGTCAGAAGATCTTTCTTCTTCTAATCCGAAAGGAAACAATACACACAGATTTGGCGATTTTTTCCGACATTACGATGAGCAGTAAACGCGGTATTTATGATGAACAGAAAATCAGTCATTTTGGTGTTGCGACAATTTTCAAAATTGAGTAAAATGGGTACCGTATAATAGACTCTAGAACAATAACATATTTTTAATTCACGACACATTACTAACTAATTATACATACAACACACAGAAGAGAAGTTACCGATTACACCTTTCATTACGTTGCCTATTACTAGTTAAAAAAGTTCTGGTTTCCTGGCGACCGCACATGAGTGAATCACGTGATGTGTATCGTTTGCAAAGAGTTTCAACATCCTGTTAGAATTTTCTAAGGTATCGTTTTAGCATTAAAATTCAGTTATTTATACAAATATGTGCATTTACCATTGTATTATAATGCATTAATTCATTTTATTAAACATATAAAGCACACCAAGCATGAATCTGAGAACCATCAAAGTCCTTCAGCCATTCTCGCCATCAGGTGGCGGCCCATTCTACCTCCATGATTTATTAACTGTTTTTTGACTTCGGAGTTTTGGCATCGAAACGTTTAATTCTGCATTTTGGAGTGAATCCGTCCTTGTGGTTTAACTTGTAAATAACTTTATTTTTGAGTTGGAGCATAAGGCGCCAAAGGCAAGCCAAGCATCAAGAAGTGGTCTTTAGAAAGCACGACTGAAATGAGAGTTTTCTCTCGAAGATAGCTATTTTCCTGTCTTTTATTACAATCGATACCTATAGTTAATTTGACAGTGGTGTGAAGTGCTCAAGTTTCTTCAGGCAAAATAAAAAGTAATTAATGTTTGTGTCATGAGTATGGATAGAAGTCTAGCCTATAACTCTCATGCTTAACTTCAGAACAAAACCGGAGTCGAAGGAAAGACATGTCAGGTAAATAAGATTTATTTATAATTACGAGTTTAGGAATTTACTGAGGGGACAGCAGTATCTCTCCTGATGGTTTTATTTATTTAGTTGTTGTTGAAGTGCAAGAAAGATCCTGACCCTAAGCATTTCCTTTTTCAATTTACAGATTACCTTTAGTCTCATGCAGAATATCGGTATTCTTCTGTTATCAGGGCCGTATTCAGAAATGTGTATATGTATGCATATAGTATGTATGATTGTGCTCATTATTTATGTTTCCCAAATTTATATTTCTTCTTAACTTTCTATACTCATAAAATCTGGGTACTCTTCTGTTTTGAGGGCCGTAAAAAAATTGCAGCGAAAATGTATGCGCAAAAGCGCCAAATCTAGCAAACGCGCTCATTTAACAGCGCGCCAAATGTAGCGTACGCGCTGGTTTCAGATTGCGTAAGTTTATATAGCTCTCTATTTCTTAAGACGCCATTGAAATACTAGTATAATTTTTAAATCCTTTTTTTGATTTTAAATCCTTTTTTGATATTCTATGAATTTAATAATTTGGGAATTGCCCATGACGAAAACTTGGCAATAGAATTTTGGGTAAAGTGAAGAATCACCCACTACTTGACGCGTTTTTAAGAATTGCACATACTCGGTATCCATGTGCACATCAATGTATTTTCACTTAAAAAAAAATTCCGAGAATTGCACAAAAATGGCACTGCGCACACCCTTGATCTTTATCTATGTACACATCGACCTATTTTCACTTAAAATGTAAAAGATATTTGACAAAAATCCAATTGTTTTGCCCTTGTAAAAAGCGGCAAACAAATAAGTGAGCGATTCTGTATTTTACCGAGAATATTTTCAAAGAAAAGGCTTCATTCATTATAGAAAATTATGTTTGAACAACCAACGAGATGAAATTATGCTTTAGCGATAAGTCGGTAGCGAAATAGCGATGCAGGCATCCATTCAGTTATGTTTAGCAATTTTTATATAAATTATAATAATGATATGAAACAGTTATTGACTCTTATGCTTCCATTCAGTCATGTTTAGCCTTTTTCATATAAATTATAATAATAAAAAAGTATTATATGAAATTAACCTTTCATTTAAATTAAAACATCAATTTTAGATAGTTATTTACTATTATACTTCCTTTCTTGCCGCAATTATTAGGGTTGCCGCCATTATTTTTGGCAGCATTGGCATCAACAATAGTTTGGCGATTTTTTACGGCCCTCGAAACCGAATAGTACCCAAATCTGCGATTAGAAGAGTTTCCCGTATTGAATACGTTATAATTTATTATTACATGTTATTAATCGACATTTATGAATTTTTAGGTACTTACGTATTATCGCAACCAGGTTGGCGCTATTTGTAAGTTTGAGTAAAAAAGTATGAATAGAAAGAAAATGTACATTTATTAATTACAGATAATTTTTTAATACAGTTTTTTATATTATTTTTTTTAAAATATAAAATAGCAATTAAACCTTCCGTTTCGAATTTGAATAAGTTGCGAATTATTTTTGGCGGAAATCTTTGGCTATTGCTTTTAGCACTGATTGAAAACCGTATTCGCCATAACCATGTACACGTCGACTTATTTTTACTTTAAAAAAAAAAATCCCAGAATTGCACAAAAATGGCATTGCGCACACTCTTGACTTTATCCATGTACACTGCTTTTTCCTCATAAATGGCAAAAATTTGCACGAAAATGCAGGAGAATTTTGTGAATCTCCACATGCTGTCTTTACAAGACTACGTATAACACGTAGGGGTTGCCGTAAGTAGGGTCGCCAAATTTGGCAATTTATGCGAATTTTGGCCTGGTTGCGATAATACGTAAGTACCTTTTTATATATACCTGTATAATATTTAATACTCGCTTTCTCCGAGAAGGCCAATAACGGTAAATTGGATTAGTAGACTGCTACCTACTGGTTGTTCAATCCGGATTCAGTTCTTGGCGAATGGGATTGATTGCATAAATATTTTCTTGGGATTGTTAGTTTATGTTTAATTTAACACAATGAAACACACACGAAAGCCATCTGTTCAAAGGAAAGGATGCTTTCGTGGATACATTTCTATTGCAAGCTTTCTCGTATTAACGTCAAAGAAGGGGGAAACCACAAAACCACCTTGTAACGAACGTTTCGTCGGGGGTCTGTGCACGAATTGAATTGTGAATGTTTAGAATTGAATGGGCAGAAATCGGGTGAATAAGACGGGTGAAACCTGGTAGTTGGACATGGATTCAATCTCCGAGAATCTCCGGCTTTATTGTAGATGTTTTTCTGGTTCCTTATGCGTAACAAGAATATGAGCCAGCTTCTTTTATAATGCCCTTAACGAAGTTATCCCTCCTTTTAAGAACATGTCCTTCGTGATCCGGGTTTCGGGTTAAACAAACAGCTCTACATCTCTACTACACGTTGTCAAATCCCGTAGATCAGCCTAAGTATCGTCTCAAGCACTCTCACATCCACTTATTTCATTGTCATTTTGATTTTGGAAAAAGTAATTATACTGGGTATAAATTATTTTTATTATGTTTTGTACAATTTTTATTGTATTGTTAATTACACTGCTGCTTAGTATTATTTGAGTTATTTGTGTTTCAGATTTTGCAATTTAAAATTTAGTGACAATATACTTTCTTGACTTTTCAGTTCAACTTAATTCAAACCTCCCAAAGGTAATGTTGTTGTTCCCAATATACAGAAATCTACAATTTAATGCATTCGTTACGAATACTCATCGGTCATTTAGATCTGTCATCAAAAGTAACGTCGCCCAGGGTGTGCCACAGGGAACAACAGAATTACATTCGAGAGAACGAAGAACTTCCGTTGTAATTTTGATCGAGATCTCCGGAGACGAAACCGAGAGTCTCCCATACCTCTCCGCAGCAACTTGGTGCCAGTAGTTTAAGTTGGGGCAGGCCAGTAGTTTAAGTGCCCCGTGGCAAAGATAAAGCAAATGGGTGCTGGAATGTCAGCCATCAGCCTTCCACCGCATCATGCAATACCCCAGAATGCATCTTGGCTGGAGAGTGCACCGAATTGAGGAATTCTTCAACACCAGACGATGCTTCCAGTGCCAGGAATTCGGGCACACGCAGCAAGACTGCAAGAACAAAGTCTACTGCGCTTACTGCTCCGGAAGCCACAACATCAAGAACTGCTATTCCGAGTTGGCCACCTGCATCAACTGTGCAGACTACAGAAGTAATAATAAAATATCTTGCGCCCACCCCGCCTATGATATCTTCTGTCCCACCTACAGCAGGTACGTTGAAAGAATCAAACGCAGCACAACCTATGAGTAATAACACTGCGGACATCCATCAATCTATGCCTACAGACCACAGCAACCAAGTAACATTTATCCCCATAAAATGCGTCCAAATTAATCTGCAAAGAGCGCAGACAGCGACATCTCAAGCACATGCAAAATCCCACGATGCAGATCTATTCCTGATACAGTAACCTTATTGTAGAGAGGATCAAGTAGCAAGCCTTCCCATATCGTGGAAAGTCTATCAACGTAAAGCAGAAAATAACCAACAATCCCCCAGAGCATTGTACCCTTAAAAGCATCCAAGCCTTCTCCAGAATTTGAACCCGGCCCTAAATGGACGGCAGTCAACATCGTTAATCATTTATACTTATCAGCGGCCACTTCATAGAAATGCACGACTTCATTATTGCGTGGTAAACCCTTATTTATCAATGTATCCATGTATTCTTAGCTATGCTGTTATTTTTTTTTCATTGGCCGGGTTCTTTATTTAATAGTCATTAGCCTTGTGCCACTACAAGGACCAGAAGTGGTGGCCATTTCATGATGGAGGCACCTAATAGGTAGCCACCGTAGCCTCCTATGAAGGGACGGACAATTACAACCATGCCTTCTCTGGTATTTGAACACGCTACGACAGTCAGGATCACTAACCACTGTACTAGATGGGAGGCTTTTATTTCACTTTGCAAATTCGTAATTTTAACATACTTTTATAGCCACAGAGGTAGCCGTTCGATTAAACCACATAATTCCGGTTGTTATTTCGATTTATAAGCATGTTTTCATAATTATTGATTAAGCCTGTAACCATCTGATGATTCCATATTAATTTTCCATTGAGCAATTCCAGTATAACTTAAAGTAATCTAATATAAGCCAAGAATTTTGGGAGAGCAAATACAATTACTGCTTTGCATCTCTGATGTTGTTGCATTGCTGGGAACACTGCGGCCGGCCACGAAAGTTTATTTTGTACAAACCCAAAAATCTGTCGCTGTAAATCATGATCTTGAAATATTATTGATCGATCCCTATAGAGATCAGCTTTCTTAAAAGCAAAAATGTGACATGCCCTCATTCACCTCAGCTTCGTCAGTTTTGGTCTAATATTAAGGGTCACAACTAAGAGAGCGGCCGAGCGGTAAAGTCGCTGAACACTGGTAGTTCGGTCCGAGGTTCGAATCCCGCGAACGGGCTGGCTGCATGGGTGTTTTCGTGGTTTTCCCCATGTGTAACGTGTATACGAGCCAGTTTCCCTTAGAAAGTCCTCCACGAAGGCATCCCTTCCTTAGGCAGATAGCCCTCGATGCTTTGCCATAATCACACACACACACAACTAAGAGACCATAAAATGAGGCACTCATGGGCTACTAAGGAAACTAAGAAAACTTCCCAGGCTAAATCTGTTAACTTCTACAGGAACCCTTAAGTTATATTATATATTGTATTTGGTCTGATCCTAGTATCCTACATACGGGATCTATCGACCTTTAGCCACTGCTGATATATCGGATGGGTTCCAAACGCGTCATTTTGGTGTTGGCCACGATTTTCAATACGCGCCAAGGCCGTACTTTTATACTAGGATTTTACCATTGTATTTTCTTAAAGAAACTGGAAAGTATCTTGCCTGGGTACTTACTATAATTTCTGAACAGTTCAGATACATGATGTTGCATGAATGCAACCAAACATGCAACATCATTTTGATCATGTGGATCTTTGTTTCGAAGTAATTGCTTCTCCTTCAACCGAGTTCACGTGGGATTTGCGTTGACTTGCAGGCCCAATTCCTTATTTTCTGTGATGCTGGAATGCAGCCAAATGTCGATAAAGAGATAAAACAACATAAAAACAGAGATTTTCGCGCGAGGATTGCCAGTGGACAGATCACCGCATTGGTGAAACTTTTCCACCAAATTAACTAAGTGAAAATCTAGATAATCTCTAGTTATTGTTCAGTGATCCGGTCCTTTAAGATTTCTCCAAACTAAAGCGTATTATAAACTCGCGATCCATAACCAAATGCCAGCCTCAATGTGAATAATTTTTATACTTAATGCCATCAAGTGCTTGAACCAGTTGTTTGCATTGCATTCTCTCTCTCTTCGAACACATTGTTAGCGAGGAAGTATTCAAAGCATGTAGCAGAAAGCCACAAAGATATAGCACAGCTGGTGCTTAAATAATAATTGTAATTTCAACGCGCTTTTGTATTTGTGTTGCGCCTCATACCCTTTGTATTATATTCCGGCAAAAAGATCTGTGAAATTTTATAATATTCAAAACCGTCCTAACAACATAATAAACTAGCTATCTCATTTAAAATTTACATATGTATTCCGTCAGAAGATTTTCAGTTACTGCTACAGTATTTAAAAGATTTGCATTACAGTTCGCAATTTACAACTGAAACCTTAGAAATACTTTGGGGTTACTTCTCTTAATCAGGTTTTTTTTTTTTTTTTTTAAATTTTATTTTCATTTTTCTTGTTTTCTGAATTCGTATGCTCCGCGAGTTTCTTCAAACAAATAGGAAAATTGCTTCCCGATTTAAGTTAGTATACCCAGAAAATGAAAAACAGAAGAAACAAAGAGGAAAACGAAATCCGTACAGCATTTAGCGGCGATAGCAGAAGCGAAGAAATGCGATGGTTAAAGGTCGGTCTTCAACGATAGCCCTGCGCTCGTGGTTGGTTTTCGTGGGTTTCTCCATGTGTAACGGGAATACAAGCCAGTTTCCCATACAACGACCGGCCCACCAGCGGCCGAGCGGTGAAGCCGCTGAACACTGGTAGTTCGGTCCGAGTGAACGGGCTGGCTGCATGGGCGTTTTCGTGGCTTTCCCTAATGTGTAAAGTGTATGCGAGCCAGATTCGCTTAGAAGGTCTTCCACGAAAGTATCCTTCTCCTTAGGCAGACAGCGATTGAGATTTTGCCGGAATGAATCAAACCAACCCTTTGAAAGTCCTTCACGAAAGCATCCCTTCCCTTGGATAGCTTTCATGGGTACTTTTCCGTTTTGCCGGCGCAAGCGATAAAGTCGCCAATAATGGTACAACCGATGCCAAACAGAATATTCTCGCTGGTAACCTTTTACGCTTCATTTTCAAAACAAGTCGCAGCATTTTCTTATCAGATTGATTATTTCTTTCAATAGTGGCATATAATTACATAGAATTTTTATCAGATAGTTCAGTTTTATGTCTAAGGCCATTTTCGGTAATTAAGTCAATCAGCATGCAATCACAGCGCTTACCCGAAGCCGAAAATATAGAAAATGTAAGTCAAGTGTTAAATTCCTCAATTCTAATGAGAATGCATTAGCGAAGTAAAGCACTGCAGCTTTACATAATTTCTGAGTAAGCTATTCGTACACATTGAAATATTTCTTGCATTTAACTTGTTCCAAATTAAGATTTAACTTGAAATTAATGTAGATAATTACTGCGAGCATTAGATTTTGTTTGTAGAGTAGTTTACGTTGAGATGAGATCGCTTGGGGTCACGTGATATGAAACCGGCGAATTAAGATGTTGAACCATGAAAGCATAGTAAATTCTTAAATTAATGTCTTTTACAAATTTACTGTCTTTATTTATTGGCTTTTTATAAAATTTTAAGCGATATTAAAATGTTTATGCCTTCAAAACAAAGAATTCTTAGAACTAACATTTTTTTTTAATATTTTTTATGTGTATACTGTATGTTGTCGCCAATAAAGTCTGCTTGGCGAGATTTGCGCCGGCCAAACGGAAAAGTATCCTTTCATGTACTCTGCCATATTCAATTAACCCAACTTTACCTTATTTCGAGTCTAAAAGTATTTTCTCAGTATCTAAAATTACAGATTTTGAATCTATCCCATCTCTATCATGCTTTTAGTTTTAAAATGGAGCTATCTCGCTGTTACAATCGCAGAGCATTTGTATTGAATGATAAAAATGTCGTTAATAACTTCAGTCTGAATACAGAAAAAAAAATACTTGTTTAGTCGTAACTTTAGTTTCTATTTTAGCTTGGAAGCTACAATTCAGACGCCAGTTTGTCGTCCACTTCATTTAGAAGCACTGATAATTCAGTCGCGCAGGGACCATAAGTTATTTTTATCAACCGCTTTCATTATTATTAATCTAATTTGTCTAGTTATTATTTTCTAAGCAGAAAAAGTAAGATTGCGCACTAACTGTTACAGTGCTTCGTCGTTTCATTGAAAAATTGTGGTTTATTTATTGATTTTCTTTCATCTGTGCGCGTACCACATTTTTTGGGCCTCGTATATGTTCCTGAGATAACGTAAATTTGCTCAAACATAATAAAAATCAAATTTGTTTCTGCCAAAAATTTAATAAAACTTAAATTTTATGAGAAACAAATATGCTAAAATAGGGGTTATAATGCAAATTGCTATTAGAATGCTTTCTTTATTCCTGAACTTTTCCAAATCTGATCAACATTTTGTAGTCTTGCATGTAGCAAAACATGACGTTATATAATTAAAAAAACTGTTTATTAGTAAAATGTAAAATTAGATATATATCATGTACTTGTTCGAATTTATTTTTATTTACGTATTCAAAAAACGCATTATTTTATCAAAAAAATGCGGAATTCTATCACTACACGTTTCCAGATTGTGCAGCGCATATTAATATAGTACAGACGTTTTTTACTCATTTTAAAAATACTTGGAGGGGTGGTAATTTACCTTTAAAATGTGTCTGATAGTGGTTTTTTTTAAATTTCCAAAATTTCCGTTCATCTTCCACTAGGCCCACCAACGGCCGAGCGGTAAAGTCGCTGTACACTGGTAGTTTGGTTCAAATCCTGCGAAGGGGCTGGCTGCATGGGCGTTTTCGTGATTTTCCCCGTGTGTAACGTGTATACGAGCCAGTTTCCTTTAGAAAGGTCCTCCACGAATGCCGA